ACCGGGGTTGCATGTTATTTTACCGGGGTTTCCTTTTCAATCTCGTCCAATAATTCTGGAACTCCCGCCATTGCGCTAAACCTCTCGCATACCCTAATTTCCCTTCAACTCGCCCCATTTCTCTCACTTTGACTGCTCCACCGTCTTGCTCCTCATGGCTGCAGAGATCCCTTTCGCGGCTCCGGATCTTATTTCCCCAATCTGCGATCTTTGTCCCACCGCGAGCCCCGATGGCGACAACCCTGGTGCTTCTGGGGAGAATGCTAGAATGGTTAAGCCCCGGTTTTCGCCGTTGACTGTCTCTGCCACTCCCAGGAGCAAGGAAAACACGAATTCCGCCTCGCTCGATGGGATCTGCAATTCAACACTTAGATCGGGGCATACTTGGAAGAACCGGCTGATTGAAAATGGCGGCCCGAGGCGCTCACCTAGAACGGCGGCGAGTTTGCCAGAACTGTCCTCTGAGAAGAAAAGGTCAAGTTTGTCGGCCGATCTACCGACTTCTGAGCGTTTAAGGGACTTTTCAGGTTCCAAGTTGAAGAAAAATTCTTCTTCAAGTTTAAAGAATCTGGATCGTGTTAATGGATCTGCACGCTTCATTGGTGAACCTGTGCTCGATGAGGAAGCTAGGCGGAGGTGGCCTCATCATTATGTGCGCCAGGTGAGGGTACAATTCATTATCATATTTTAAAACATTATTTTTTTTTGTAAGTATTCAATTCTTTTTGTGTTTTGTTTTGCTCATTTAAGATATGCACTCTTCTTACCACTTGAGTGGAGCTCGGATCATCAATTTGGTTGTAAGAACCGTGCTTTGATATTGATCTCTTTTGAAATGTTGATGGTTGCTCCACCTTTATTTGGAGGTTTTAGAATTGTTTTGCGGGTTATCAGGTTTAGAAAGTAATTTCTACTAGTGAATGTCTAAAGGCCCTTTTAGAACCTCAACCGGTTATAGTTCGTCCATTATAGTTCAGTGTATGAGGCTATCCGTTATTCTAGATAGGTGGCTATATTGATTAAATTTCCCTGTTCAAAAGCAATTTGGTGAAAGACAATGAGGCGAATAAGTCCGTGTAGGTTGGGATCAAAGTTCTTGGAATGACTCATGGAGTATGATGAATTGACTGCATCATACTATTCTGGGTTTTAAAATTACAACAAAGAACATAAAAGTCTGAAGTTTTTGTATCTTTTTAAAAATGGCCGCAATTTTTGAATTTGCCATTCATTCATGTTATTCTCAGGAATAAAAGGGCAATTTATAAATATAAATCGAAAATCATATGACAATAAACTTAGATTGTTGGTATGGTAAAGGATAATAATATTTGTAACAAGTCATTGAAATAAAATAATATAGATTAAGCTTTAATCGAATGACTTGAAGAATCCCTAGCAGCCATTTTGCCATAGTTGTTCTAATCCGAACGTAACATTTTCATCTACTTGATTTGATTGGATTTTTGATATTGGAATGTGCAAAAGGTTGATGCCTCCATTTAGAATCTTATGATATTTCTATGCTTTCAAGGTTTGATGCCAACTTTATATTTTCTCTTATCATTGACATTTCCATCAAAAGTTATGATATTCCATTGTAAAAGTTTGTTGTTGCAACTCCCAAGGAAGAATGCTATTGATGATTGGAGATAGAATGTACCACTTTTTCAGAAGCCTTGGGTCCACATTCTCTTATGCCAGCTTCTCTA